CTGATCAAGATAAAATTACTGAGACTAACCTTCGAAAAAGAAAAGAAAGTGCTAAAAAAGTTTTCAAACTTTTCAATAGTATTGGCGGCGAAAAAATAATAGATCGTGTTAAATCTTTTTTTGCATCAAATATTTCAAATCTAAGTCTAGATGATATTGATTATGTAATAGCAAAGGTTTTAAAAGCATCATCTGATTAAAAATAAATTACTACGCTACTGTGACAACCGATGTCACACCTCTTCAGGCGTAAATAATAAAGTTTTTATTTTTTGTTTTTTCAATAATTTGACTATATACAAAAATATTCATTAATGTTAACGTATTTGTAAGACAGGGCACAAAGTGCAGGTTTGATAAAAACCTAGCCACATAAATATTATTTTTTTTCCGTTAATATATAACAATGAAAGAACATAGTTCATTTACAAATAAAAAAAGCTGGACTTAAGTCCAGAAAGTGGCATATCTTTAGAGGGTGGAAGCACGGGTGTAAGGTGTGTGACGAATGTAATCATCATTCACACCTATATTGTAAAACATGTAAAAAAGTGGCAGATGGAATGTATAAGCAATGTGAATGTGAAAATTTCTAAAGGAACCACAAATAATAAATCAGAATTAGTGATTTGGTGTCGTCGAAGACAGGCATAATAACAAAGTTTTATTTTCCGCTATATAATTTATCTACATAACATAGATATTCATTAACAATGTGTCAGAATAAATTCCACATAAAAAATCTTTAGTTACGAATTTCGGTCAATTAGCTCATGACACATCGATTTGTAATACGTTATCTCTACAGCCATGAATCTTTAGATTAGATTCTCATTCCACATACATTTCAGATTTTTTTTTAATATCAAATGTGTTTAGTCGCATGATAATTTCGCTAATGCTTGGTCTTAAATCTGGTATTGTATCCCAGCAACTAGAATAAAGTTTTACATATTCTACAGGGGTATCCGAGATTGGTTTCTCATGTTCGCCTTGGTATATTCTTATAGCAATTTGTATACGTTTAAATTTATGAAATGGTTTTTTTCTACTAGATATTTGCCAAAGAATAACACCAAAGCTATAGATATCAGATTTTTCAGAAAGCGTGTATGAAGCATTTATGAAACATTGTGGGTCTATAAATGCTGGTTCACCTTCTGGGCCATTTGAACCCGAATTTACTGCTGATTTACATCTTTTCTTTAAATTAAAGCCTGAGATTAACATTCTTCCTCTATGAACCAAGATTTTCCTATAGTTCTGTAATAAGCGTCAGTTATTATTATCATGTTTTAATCAAATTCGTCTGAAAACTTATAACTATGTAATATACTTACAAGAGTTCTATGAATTATTTTATTAGTATGTAAAAACATAAGACCTTCAGCTATTTCTTTAGCAATACGCAATTTATCAACCCATTCAAGACTTGAAAAATTTTGCTCTAGATAAAAGCGTAAATTACTATTATCAGCATATTGCAAAATCATATAGTAATCACCATCAACATTTCTATTTATTTAAACCAAGTTAATATAATTTATATGAAGGCAATTATTTACATATATTATTTAAAAATACACACTTTGCAAATCCATAAAATCCGATAATATTTGGATGCCCAGAATTTATTATAAATAATAATTCATTTGCAAATTCTTGAAAATCTCTTTTATCTAGATCTAAATCAACTCTTATATATTTAGCTATGATTAGTTCTCTGTTCTTCCATTCACATTTATAAGTCTTTTCAGAAAATTCTCCTAAGAGTTCAGAGGTTTTAAGTACATCATGATCATAGCATTTAATATTATTCTCTAAAATAGCCTCATTAAACCAGGCTGTTGGATGATCCTGTATGATATCATGATGTATTGGTCCAAAAATAAGTTGATTCAAGGCACCAAGAACTGTTTTAATTTCTGGACGTTCAGCAGGAATATTATTCCAGCAACGCGTGTAAAGCTCTGAATATTGAGGTGGTGTGCCTTCTATAATCTCTTCTTTTTTCCCATTAAATGCTTGAATAAGAGCAAACCAATGTGTTGATTGGTATGATGATTGATATGATAATTGGAATGGTGGCCATCCACTAGAGATTTCCCAAAAAATAACACCCAAGCTATAAATATCAGATCTTTTATCACGTTTATACAAAGGGTCCTTAAAACATTTTGGCTCAATATAGGCTGGAACTCCATGAATATCTGAAGTAGAAGCTAGGCTATCTGATGCCATTTTAGATAAACCAAAATCTGCAATCATCATTCTTTCTTCATTAACCAATATGTTTTTAGAATACTATAAAGTACAAAAATTACACTTTAAGTCATTATCATTAATAAGTCATTATCATTAATTAATGGCATATGATGAAAAATTTATCTTACAAGATCTCTATAAACTAAATCAAGTTTATGTAAAAATGCAAGACCCTGCGTTATTTCTTTGGCAATGCGTAATTTATCATCCCATTGAAGCTTTGAAAAATTGTTTTTTAAATATTGGCGTAAATTTCCGTCTCCGGCATATTGCAAAACCATATTATACTTGTTTGAATGATCTAATTTCAATGAAATTCTTTTATAGGTCAATAATTATTTAATTAAAGGTATTTTGAATAGAGTACAACCTTTAGTTACACCATAGAATCGATTTATATTAGGATGAAAACTTGCAAATTGTAAATTATTAAGCTTTATACCGAGAATTTTGACGTTATTAGATTCATTTAATAATCTTTATATCCGTTAATTACTTTCTTTTAGACATTGCACATACCTCACGTATGAAGTTTTTTGAAGCCTTTTCATCAAATTCATCAACTTTTAAACATTTGAGAGCGACAGTCAGCCCAAACTTATTCCATTCTGCTCTGTTTATTACAGCAAATCCTCCTTCACCAATTTTGCAAAAGTTGTTGAATTCATTATAGCCAAAATCTTTTATATTTTGTTCATTAATAGCTTCTTTAAGCCATTCATTCAACATTTTTAAATGATAATATTTTATGCTAGGAACGAAGTGAAATTATATAATTCTTTGAAGAGTCGAATGAAACTGAGAAATGTTTTTGCACAAGTCCGAATGGCCATTTTCATATTTTGGATTTGTGTAGCCTGTAACAGCTTAAATTTAGAAATGTTGTTACCTCCGAAACTTTGTGTGCAATGCGGATATGGAGCCTTATAAAATAAAAAGACAATGTTTTTTTTTGTAATTATATTAAAATTTACAGTATATATAAACAAGAGTCAAATTTATTATAACTTTTAGTAACGGTAAAATTATCCTTTCAGAATATTGTGAAAAATTTTTTATACGGGTTAACAACCATATAGTCATACATTGGCAGGGGAGTCGTCCGCGGTGCTAGAAAATTTGATCTTACAAGATTTGCGACGAATGCAATCATCATTCACATCTATATTGTAAGACATGTAATAAAGTAGTGGACAGAATATATAGACGATGTGAATGTGATAATTCTCGAATAAAATCTGAATTAGCGATAATCATACGTACATAATTTGTCGTTCATTAGTGTAATGGTAATAATTCCGCATATGAAATTTATCTATATCTTACAAGGCTTATCGTTATGCATACGATCTTATTTGTGAGACGGGGCATAAGTAGAAATCCATTTTTCTGGAATCAGTACCCTAACCAAAATCAGTCAATTAACTCATGCCACATATCGATATGTTCTGAATTTTATTTTGTGGAGCCAACTCCGGACCGAAACCTTATCTGGCCTAAATGCGCACAATGTATGCATGTGCTACGGAGTATCAAGTCATTTTTTTAACAATTTTAACCTTACATGGCTCTATAACTCGTGATGCATACATTTACATAATTTATAGAATTCTTTTGTATCATCGATAGAAATTTCTCTGCGTAGAAATACATGTCTCAACTTCTATCGTAGAAATTTTTGATGTAAGAGTGCATGTTTTTGCTTCTGCCTAACCTTTCCAACATTTCGAGTTTCAAAGAAAAGATGAAAGAAAAAACATATAAAAGGGCAGTATCTCGAAGTTATGGTTATTTGTCGCTTTATAGTGATTATTTCTTACACTGTTTTAACATATCAGCAGAGCTAACAATATTTTATACATAAAAATTTATTAATTACCTAAATCATGTCTAGCTCAACTGAAGTCTTCGCTCCATTATGTAACTTTTTAAAAACTGCTTCCTTAGACAAAATCACCATTTCGAGAATCTTCACTCAGCAATGGAAACTATTTAAAATCCAATCTAAAAAAGAAGATTGCGAATGTCTTATGAATATATTAAAAAGCGTTGAAAGTAATATTAAGAATAAAGAACGTAGACAACATATTATAGCATTACAAGACATTAATAGAGTAAGTAAAATAACATTTCAATATTATTTATAAAAATGATGAATGTAGTCTGTCACCAATTAATAAGTATAATGCGATCGAATTAAGTTATACACCAACGAGGGTTCTTTTTCATTACACTTATAATGCTGTTTATGGACAGTAAAAATGCCGGCAATTACTGATTAGGCGAGTCTGACTTGCGCAAGAATGATGTTCTGTAACTATACTAATTATATTAAACCACTCTATTTTTTTTAGATCAATTATACCCGTGATGAACTCATATCGTTGATAGATGCGGGTGAATTGAAAGGGGATTTTAAAGAATACAAAGACTGGAAAAACGATGCATCTAACAACATAGCTATTTTGAAAAGCGCATTCGAGAATGGAGGGACGCGATCCCATGATCATATTTATGCGAAACTTTGTGGAGTAAAAGTTAACGATTTATTACAAAACGATCCATTATGCGTTGGGGTAATTGACTTTAGTTCAGATAGATACCAACTCCCGGAAAATAACTATAAAGATCTTGTGGTATGAAATAAAAATCAACTCCATTAATTAATAAAAATGTGTTAACTGTTTCTATTAAAATAATTTACTAGGGAGAAAAGGGTGATATAAGAGACTTAACCAAAAGTGCCGGAATTAAAAAATTATGTACCGATTTTGTAGTAAGAAGAAATGAACTTAGTCGGTTTCGCAAACTTGTATTATCGCAATCAGAAATTATAACGCATAACCAGTGGATTGAAGAAGAATATGGTAAAGAACGTGCAGTAAGAGACATTATCGACGTACTTCTACAAGAAATAAAACTAAATGCGCTTCGTAAGGTTTCTCATGGCTCAGAAAATTCTTTTGTAGAAATTATAGCGCGATTAATAGACACCGCTATGTGTCGCCTGCCTATAAGCTATGAAATTGAGGTTACAAGAGCCGAGTGCCAAAGCATAGCTAGTAAAAATCGTAAGGTTCAACAACAAAAAGGGTCAAGAGGAAATAAGCCGGACCTTATGATTCGTATGTTTGTCCACAAAAAATGGGAAGAAATT